AGTTGATGTATTTCCTCAGCGACCAGCACGGATCAGCTCCAAGCATGACGAAGCGGATATCGTCCTCTTTTGGAAGGCCAAACAAAGTAGTTTTGCTTTCACAACGAAATACAGTGTCACACACGGTGGCCTAGAGTGAGCGGTGGCGTGCGGGCTAGAGTGAGCGGCAGCCGGCGGATTCGACGAAGGAGCGGCTGGCGGCAACAACAGCGAGAATAAAAGTTACGCCTTCTTTCTTTGCGTGAACATTTGGGCGGCGTTATGCAAATCTTCCCACATCGTGACGTAGACATGTGGGGGCATGTTAGAACGAGCCGCTTTTAACTTTTATAAAGAATATCTCTTTGGATTTTAAACTTTAGTCTTTGCAACTTTACAGATCTTCTTTATGCTGTGAGGTATGTAGAAGTTAAGAAAACAAAAGTTGTATTATTATTATTATTATTTTACACTTGGCAAATGTCCCATGATTTGTAGAATTAATAGAATTAGTAATGAAAATTGAGTATTAAATTGGAAAGGAATGTAAAATGAAATTATTTTTACCTTGTGTGTTTATCTTGGCAGATTGCAAGTTTATTTGTTTTTAGCATGGATTTTGTACATTATTATCCTTTTTTTTTTGCAGAATTAGTTTACATTTATGCACAGAAGTTTACTCATAAAGACAAAAACCATGCATATTTTACTAAATGTTCATGTTTGACAGCTGGTAAATCAGCTCAGATCTTTTGGAGGTACAGTACAGTTATGTGCTGCACCCTGATCAGTAAGTGAGTTGTCTCTCCACACCACTGCAGCTAAGTGCTTCTTTGAATGTGATGGGGGACACTCCTGCTGTGTTGCCTGCAGGCGAAATGTCATTGTATGATATATTGTAGACACTGAGCAGCAGGAAACTGTCATGTGAAAGTCAATGCCATAACACTTTAGATGTCCCAAAGACAATTCATGGCCGGCAGGCGAAGTTATGATCACTATCCCAATAGGCGACGACACAGCGTTCCATTTTCTATCACTCCTCTTTCTTTAGGTCTGCCTGCCTTTCACTTCCTCTCTCCCTCTCCAGATCGCACCGCCAAAATCTGTAATGTGTCAGTCACGCATGGCATGACTGAATTCATAGTGCCGAGTGATACTAGTTTGCCTTCAGAGCCTTACTTTGAAGAGATTCTGCTAGTAATTCTGCCTGACTCCCAACCAGTCATGTAAAACATGGGTTTTCCAAGAGGAGTGCAAAGATAAGCATCAATTGCAATACATAAAAAAACTGAATCTGATAAATGATGTGGTAAAGTAAAAAAAAATGGATTGCTATATTAAGTTGGAATAATGAAAAAGTTCAGAATGATGAAAGATTTATTTATTTGGACACTGTGATCAGTCCATTAACCCACAATGAGTTCTCAAACAATGTAAACGAAAGAAAAAATACTTTATTCATAAAATAATATTTATTTTACACTGTTTGATAACTCATTGTAGATTATTTTGAATTATTTAGTTTTATTATTATACAATTTATTGCTTTTTTATTTATTTTTCTTAGTCATCATTATGGTTCTAAACTATGAAGTAGACAGCTTGCTTTGCCAACTGACATTAAGACAAAAGTAGAAAATATTTTCTGTGCAATAGTTTGTGGTGACAGTCTGCATTCAGTTTTAAGCACTTCTTGTGACTTAAACCATTGCGGCTTCACACTAATTGAGCTGCAGAGTGTGACGAGAGAAACCCAACAGCAGAGTCCCAAAAAGACTTGTTGGAAGAGGAATTGTTGCAGACTAGTGCTGTGGCTAAAATATGCCTTGTGCCTGACTACAAACACACACACTTTGATTTAAAATTCTAAGATTTGCTAAAGGACAAACCAGATTAAAGCTAAGACTCTATATTATTCTTGTGCCTCTGACATTTCACTATTTTTCAAACACTAGAAGTAGAATGTGAAGTTTTGAAAGAAGATTCTTTGGTGTAATATGGAAATATAAAACAAACATATTTACTGTCTTTTGAGAATTAAGTATTAGATGTTGAGTCTTGAGGTCTGTAATGGTTAACAATGCACATAATTATGAGATATTGTTAGTGGTTATTATTAGAGCACTCTCATTTGCATCATTCTTGTCTGAATAAGAG